GACCTTAGATCTCAGGCTGCAAATAAAATTACTACTAAAATATACCTTCTGGGATTAAGTAATTTCTCTTTTCCTACTTGTCACCAAGGAGTCCTAAGGTGGCACGGTAAGATAGGAACTGGACTGCTAACCTGAAAGATAACAGTTCAAACCTACCAGCTGCTCCTCAGAAGCCCTATATACACAGGGTTGCTATGAGTTGGGACCGACTCAATGGCACTAACAACAACGTGTCACGCAAATTAAAAAGCAAATAAATGATTTTGATTAAATATATCGCAGTCCAACAGTCTGGAGATGTGAATCTAGTAAGAAGCAAATTCATTTCTTAAATAAACATTTATTTGGCATTCACTATGTGTTCAGTACTGTGATGTTGTTGTTGTTGTTGTGTGCCGTGGAGTCAGTTCCGACTCATAGCGACCCTACACAGGGTTTCCAAAGCTGTAAATCTTTACAGGAGCAGACCACCTCATCTTTCTCCCATGGAACTAATGGTAGTTTCGAACTGCTGACCTTGCGGCTCGCAGCCCGATTCGTAACCACTACGCTACCAGAGCTCAGGTACTAAGAATAATGGAAAAGTGAGAATAAAATGTAGTCCCTGCCCTCATGAAGCTTACTATCAAGGAGGCAGAAACTGAAAAATCTAGATAGTACAATGAGTACTGTGATATATTAACAGGCTTAGGAAGACAAAGAAAGGGCTAAGACGCAGATCTGGGGGTGTGGAATCAAGGAAAGCTTCCCAAGGTGACCATCTGCCGCTACCAATGAGTTCATTCAGACTCACAGCGAACCCATACAACAGAGTTTCCAAAACTATACATCTTTATGGAAACAGGCTCAACTTTCTCCTGTAGACTAGACAGCGGATTTGAACCATTGACCTTGCAGTTAGCAGCCCAACATCTAAGCCACTCTGTACCACACTAGGGTGTCTTAATGTGAAAAGAGCTTAACATAAAAGACCAACAAAGTCAGTAAAAGGAAAAAGAAGGATTGTTTCCAGGATAACAAATCAGACAGTATGAACTCAAGACGCATAAAACAACATTGTAAATTAACTGAGAAAACAACAGTTCCCTAAGTCTATAAAGCACAATGTGAATATGGAGGAATGAACTGATGTGAGGCTAAAAACAGACAAAGGTGAGATGATTAATGATCCTGTGCGCCAAGCTTTTATCTTAAAAGTTATGTGGAGCCACAATACAATGTTAAACTAGAGTGACAAGGAAGATCTGCCTTCTAGAATGAATACTTTTGCAACACTGCAATAATAAGCCAAAAAGAAAAAGATTATCCAGAGAAGTCCAATTAAATGACTACTGTAATAATAAAGGCACAAAGTTATTAGGGTTTGAAGTGAGGCAGTGGCAATAAATGTGGAGAAAATTTCAAGACAGATTTAGGGGATAAAAACAACTTTGTTGTTAATTGCACAATGAACAAAAAATGGGCCAGTCCTGTGCCATCTTCATGATCATTGGTATGTTTGAGTCCATTGTTGTGGCTATTGTGTCAGTCCATCTAATTAAGGGTTCTTCTTCTTATACAGACTGTCCACTTTACCAAATATGTTCTTTTCTGACAACTGGTCCTTCCAAAGTAAGTGAGCAAAAGTCTCCCCATCATCAAGGATGATTTTGATTGTATTTCTTCTAAGACAGAGTTGTTAGTTCTTGTAGCAGTCCATAGTATATTTAATATTCTTCAACATCACAATTCAAATGCATCAATTCTTCTGTCTTCCTTTTTTACTATCACATGCATATGTTGTTGTTGTTAAGTACTGTTCAGTCAGTACCAACTCACAGTGACCCTATCTATGTACAGCAAAACACTTCCCAGTCCTGTGCCAATCTCACAATCATTGCTATGCTTGAGCCTATTGATGCTGCCACTGTACCAATCCATCTCACTGGAGTCTTCCTATTTTTCTCCAAACCTCCACTCTAACTAACATGATATACTTCACCAGGGATTGATCCCTCCTGATAATATGTCCAAATATGAGAGATGAAATCTAGTCATCTTAGCTTCTAAGGAGCATTATGGCTGTGCTTCTTCCAACACAGACTGGTTTGTTCTATTGGTGGTCCCATGGTACTTTTAATATTCTCCTACGACATCATAACTCAAATGCATCAATTTTTCTATGGTCTTCCTTATTCATTGTCCAACTTTCACATGCATATGAGGTTACTGAAAATACCATGGCTTAGGTAAGGCACACTGTAGTCCACAAACTGACATCTTTGCTCTTCAACACTTTAAAGAGATCTTGTGCAGCAGATTTGCCCAATGCAATATGTTTGTTTGATCTATTGACTGCTGCTTCCATGTGTTGATGGTTGATTTGACAAAAATGGGGGCTTTTTAAACTTACCACTCTGCAGGAGAAAGAAGAAATAGTCTGTTTCTACTAAGATTTACAGCCTTGAAAACCCTATGAAGCAGTTCTACTCTGTCCTACAGGGTCACTATGAGTCCGAATCAACAAGAAGGCAGCGGCTTGGTTTTTGTTTTAGGTTTTGTTTTTTTTTCCAAATTATTATTTTCATGTAACTCATAATCTAGTTGCTAGTAACTCCTGGTTAGAACTATTTTTCTGAAAGAACAGAAGATCACACTGTTCTAAATGGAGAAGGACCATCATGAGATGAGGGGCTTTTAATGTGCCTGTTGTAATTTGAATGACACATTTTTTTTCTATCAGTGGCAGGCAGAGTGTAAAAACTTCCTTTCCCAAGAGTCAAAGTCCTGGAAGAACTACTTCTTTAACTGCCCCTTTTATTTAGATCCCTCAGCATAGCAACGTCAGCACAGCATTCACTTGTGCTGAATAGGAAACTGATAGAAATCTAGTAGAATTAGAACAAATTACTTCATAAATTACTGATGCTAAACTGTCTTACTCCAAGATTTTAGGACCCTTAGAAAGTTATATTTACATCAGGTATGACCTAGTAAGAAAGGGCTTATTAAACTCCAGCTTTTTATAGGTTTACTATTTTTAAAAACCCTTGTCTTTCTAAAAGTTAATATATAGCATTACGTTTACATGTTCTAACAGAGTTCTACTTTAAGTTTAAAAACTAACTGTTTACCCAAAGTGGGGGAGGAGAGGAGGGGAAGGGAGAGAAGGGGAGCTACAAAAGCAAGAAGTGACTGTCTTACAAGCTTTCAAGACGGAACCTAGATCCAGAGGGCATGGAGGAAGGTAGAATCTCCACTGAGTATCCAATCTGTCTAAGCGGGGCTGATGAAAGGAAATACAGATAGGTCTCTTGTGATACAATAGTGAATAATTGTTATCAGGACTGATTGTGAGGGTTGGAAATGTAAAGATGCACATTTCATAACAAGGAGGGGAGTGATAAACTTTGCAGTCTAGGAGCAGAGATCCCTGGTACCATCGAGGGAAGAAGAGCAGAGACCGGGACTCTACCCAGAGAAGCAGTGATGCCAGAGATGGAGGCAGAGATGATGACATGGAGAGATGGAGCGGCTGGGGACTTTAGACCCAGAGAGGGAGAGGGGCTGTGTGCTGATGACTGGGGGACAGGTTTGTAGGGTATACCCTTTAGTTGCTTGATGATGCATGGAGGGGATTATAACCATGGCAATGAAACAATATATGATAGGATGAATGTAAAACTAATGTTCTCCCATGTAAACTATCACATAATTCACAATAAAACACTAAAAAAAAAAAAGGGGGAGGGGGGGAACCTAGATCCAGAGGACGTAGAGGAAGGGAGAATCTCCACTGAATAGTATCTAATCTGTCTAGGCAGGGCTGATGAAAGGAAATGCGGACGTGTCTCTTGTGATACAATAGTGAATAACTGTTCTAAGCACTGATTGTGAGGGTTGGAAATGTAAAGGCAGACATTGTGTAGCAAGGAGGGGAGTGATTAACTTTGCAGTCTAGGAGCAGAGGTCCCTGGGACCATCAAGGGAGAAGAGCAGAGAGTGGGACCCTACCCAGAGAAGCAGTGAGGCCTGAGATGGAGGCAGAGACGATGACATGGAAAGATGAAGCAGCTGGGGACTGTAGACCCAGAAAGGGAGAAGGGCTGTGTGCTGATGATCGTGAAACAATATATGATAGGATGAATGTAAAGCTAATGTTCTCCCATGTAAACTATCACATAATTCACAATAAAGCATTAAAAAAAACAAAAAAAAACTGTTGAAAGGTAACAGTTTATAATATGCCTTGGCTTAAAGCAGCTATATTATGTCACTCAAATTATAAACTAATAACCAAAGGTCTATGTTATGGCAGATTATTCTAAATGAAAGCAAAATACTTCCTCCACACTCAAAAACAAAAAGATCTATTATTTTACGTAAATGTAAATATACTCAGTGAAAACTTTTGTTACAGATCACATATTTATAGAGCTAATTCTGGTTTTCATCCCCAAATTCCACATACAAATCTTTTGTTTTGTTTAGTTTAATATAGGCCTAAATCGACTTTGTTTGCTTTTAAAATGAAACTAAAAATTTACTACTAAAATATTAGGGCAGTATTTCAACATTATCTCTCTCTTTTTTTTTTTAATGCATGTAAAATGCAAGAAAACTCATGAAGTCAAAGTTAACTAGAACCCAGATTAGACCTTTTAAATAAATGTTAGAAATGGAGAAACTAGTGTGTGTGTGTGTGTGTGTATATATATACTTTCATTTTAATTCCTAATAAGATTAGTACATGATTCAAATTATTATAATGTAAATAAATTAAATACACTAAAGATACTTGCTTTCAAACATAATTCCATGTCAATCTATTTAATAAAGTACAAAACCATCACCTAACTACATCAATTGATACTTTCAACTTTAATATTGCTTAGAATGGGGTCACACCTATATATGCAGATATTCTTATGAATTATTTCCAACAATCTTATTTTTGAGAGTATTGGATTTGATTATTTCAAATGTGGTAAGTTGAACAAAATCAATACTGAACAACATACCTTTCAGATAAATTAAGGCTTTGGTGAAGAGGTTCTAATTTTTGACATGTCTCTAGGTTGTCAACAGATGTCGAAGGCAATGAGTCTGAGTACACCTTGTTGGCATCACAGAAATTAGCATCGTTTCTAGGTAGGGTCTTTCTGAATTTTCGTCCTAAATCCGTCCATAGGACATTCGTCAACATAACTCTGAGTTGCCTGTTATACACATAAATAATTAATATTTACAGTACTAAACATTGTAGAATACATAAATTAAAAACAAGCTATAAAACCCTCTAGAAATTGCAAATTTCAATTCTCAAGCAATTAATTATGGTAGTAAATTTTCTAAGTTAAAAAAAATTTTGCCTCATCATTCTCAAGTACACATTAAAAATTAAAGTCTTATTTACTTAGCTGGGTGTTTTCTTTGTATTCTCTTTTGCAAGCTACTACAACAGTCACACACATATAGCTATTAGATTCCTGGTAACCCGTCTATGCCTGGCCACAATGTCAGTAGAAGAAAGACAATGTATATCTGTATCTCTCGTCAATGAGGTAAACTCTTTCTGTACCAAAAATGCAACTGTTTTAGCATTAGTTGATTTAGAAAAGAAAATTACTAAAACTAAGGACACAATCGTATATCACCTAGTCTTAAACCTACTAAGTCAAGGACACAGATCTAATTTTACCTTATTTCTAAAACTCAGTTTAAAACATTTATCTAATAAAATATTTTAATATCAATTTCAAATGGAAGATTCTAATAAACGCAGCAAGCAGTTCCAGTTTTTCACTCATCACTTTTTCCCAAATGTTCATTAGAGGTTGTTGTTCCAACAGGAAAAGGGAACACTGACTGGTTTATATTAGGAAAGGTACGTACCAAGGTTGTATTTTTTCACCATACTTATTCAACCTGTACACTGAGCAAATAATTCAAGAAGATGAAATATATGCAGAAAAATGTGGCAACAAGGTTAGAGAAAGACTCATTAACAACCTGTGACATGCAGATGATACAACCTTGCTTGCTGAAAAGTGAAGACCACTTAAAATACTTACTGATGAAGATCAAAGACCACAGGCTTCAGTATGGGTTGTATCTCAATGTAAAGAAAACAAAAATCATCACAACTGAACCGATAAATAACATCATGATAAATGGAGAAAATACTTCATTTTGCTTGGATCCATAATCAACACTCATGAAAGAACCAGTCAAGAAATCAAACAAAATATTGCATTAGGCAAATCTGCTGCACAAGACCTCT